TACCAAGATTCACTACTTACTGTTGCTGATAATGGGCCGTATTCCTGATTTAGTTGCTACTGCAATGCTTTCTAAGAGCTCCAGTTGTGGACCAGGGTACCACTGTGCTAAATGCTGTACAAACAAAGAACAAAAAAGGTACCTGCCCCGTAGAGCTGACTAAGTGGCTCTAGCATCTGATATCCTAGACTCCCAAAATCATAACTAAGTAGTCATGTTGATATGTAGATTTATGAAATGGTCTCTCTTAGTGGTTTAACAATTAATAATTCATGCGGTACCAGAACTGAAAATACAGTTAATTTCCATAAGCATAACTTTTATCTATGCTGTGTAACAGATATGCCAAGCAGAGAGATTTAGCTGTTGTGTACACTCGCTGTTTGGACCTTACTTTTTTGTCAGAGGAACTGAGCAGCTGCTATTTGATTTCTCCTGAAACTGTGGAACTAGATACTTCTATCATAAGGCCCCTTAATATACACCACAATATTTATATGGTTTATAATGCTTTCTGTTTACTAGACTTTAGCATTTTAAAATGGAGGTAATTGCAGGTACAGTGGAGTGCCAGTTATCCAAACTAACTGGAACCAAAACCTGTTTATAAAATCAGTGGGTACCTAATGCCCTGAGCTTATAGAATAGGGCAGGATATACATCTGAAAAACAGATAAATACTTTTTCCAATTATAAACTTAATTTTGAAGCATATACAGTATAAAGTCCCATCTAAGAATGCGAAGGCTTGATCAGTCTTGTTTGTCTCTAAGAACTTTCTTCCAGCAACAAGATCTTTCAATTGTTTTAAAAACAAAAACTGTGGATTCTGCCTTGGGTTGCCATTTAATACCCTCTGAAAGTATTACTATAGCTTCAGAACAAGCAGTGATTTCACAGGTGTTGTCCAGTGCAGTTATCTTAATTGGCAGTCTCTCCGGCATAGCTGCATTTGTGTTTTTCTTATCTAGAATCTGTAGTTTGAATTTCTAACCACCATCATTAGGATTGTATTTCACATGTCCTGGAATATTCTGTACATCATCCGCAAAAGTCTTAATGTGTACATCATAATTAAATTTTGGGGGCGTTATTTGAAACACTTTGCTGCTTTTGTTTCCCATCAGCTATAGGTACTAGCTTCCCTTCCACCATTTCTTTGAAGCTGTCTGTGTACATTCGACAGTTCAGTGCACACATGTATATCTTTGAGTCAAACTTTTTCCATAAGGTAAAGATGTCAGACTCAGTCTTCAGAAATTGGCAAGCATCAAAGTGCTGTTTTTTGTAATTCCCTAAAACCCCTTGATCTAAAAGCTGAAAGAATGAAATTGTTTGAAGGTAGGAAAAGACATTCAGTAGCATCATCTGATGTCCGTAGCTGTTCTGAGTTGGATAGGTTGATACATTTTCCTTTACTTTCATTTTACTTTTGGTTTGCTTCTTCACAGCTGGGACAAACAGTTAATAAAGCCAGTTGGTGAAAAGAGCTGTGTTCATTTACCCATATTTTTGTGATCAGTCATGCTTGGTCTGTCACTTCACTAAAGCCCTGTGGATTCTTTGATTTTTTTTTTTTTTTTAAAAATTTTTTTAAATTTTTTTATTTTTTATTTTTTTATTTTTTTCATGCAACTGCAAGGTAACTTTCATAAGCCTGTGATGTTACAACATGCAAGCACTGTTGTCCTTTTCTTACCAAACTTATAATCAAGTGTTGCTTCCCTCCGCCCCCACCTTGTTGAGATGCCAAGGCGTTGAAAGGAAGTGTTTTCCAGTAAAAGCCTATCTCACTGCTGCTGTCTGGTTGGTCTTGACTGAGGTCTTTCTTCAGTACTAGAAATAAGACTTCTGCTTTTAATTTTTTTAGCTGACTTGATATCCGTGCAAATTTTCCCTTGCCCCTCTCATTCCCTTCCACATTCAGAGTGTTTGTCAGGCAGCTGGAGATTGAAAGTTTTTAAGCTCTCCAGAGCTTAATCTAAATGATGGACCACCTCCCCATCTGTTTGTTCATCCAGATTGCTTTCTCTCTAATCACTGGTTATGATGCTAGTACACTCTGGCTCCATTTTTGCACAAACCACAAATAAATAGCACTATTGAGTACTTCATTATCAACAGTTTTCAAGCATTCTCGTGCCTGAGTGCCTTCTGCTGAAAATAACTTGCTGCTGTAAGCTTCAATTTTGTTACTGCTTAATTTTATGTTGCTTACCATTGCTTTTTCCAATGCTATATTCTACAGCAAGCTTGGTAACAGATTTGCCTTTTCTCAGTTTATTTCAGTTACTTATTTCTCAATTATTAAAGCAGTTCTGCTTCTTTTCTGTTTTTGTTGCTCTTGCTTACACTGCACACCATGCAGATTGACAGCATGTCCTCACTTGGATACATGTATGGTTTGGATAATTATTAGGTCTGGCAGAATGTGATTTTTATTTTTTAAATAATTTTGATGGCTAAAATCTGTTTATTCTTAAGCATTTCTTTTGATTTTTATCAATTTACATTTTTCAGGATTGTGTGAAATTAGGGGCATGGTGGGCAGACAGTTTAGCTACTTCAGCCTACTGGTAAAACTTTTTAATAAAAATCACGTTAAAATATTAAAAAAAAAAAATATCCATAAATCAATAAAGCATACCTGATCATGCAGGGACTGGTCTGGGTTTGGTGGGAGTTTGACCCCTGCTCCTATTGTGTTCTATAAATCTTGATGATTACCAATGGAAGTATTTTTTTCATTGATTTATAAGTGTCAGGTAAAATCAGCATTTGTTGATTTCAGAAATCAGATCCTGCCACGCCTAATTAATTTGTGTTTTTGGTTATTTTGACACTTGTAGTGTGTGAGCATTACAAATAGTTTGTAAAGAGCTGAAACTATTTTTAGTGCTATACAAGCAAAAAGTTGCCTTACAAATGTGGTTGGAATTCAAACTGAAGTTATACTTTGAGATGTGTTGATTAAGTGATCTCAAGCATACAAGCTGTCTATAGTTGCTAGGAATGGAATCCAGGTCCAGGCTTACACTAAAAGACCACTGTCCAGGCATGTACATGCACACACATTATGTTAATTTGCAAGACATTTTACACACTAAATTCTGTAACATGCACATTTGTAATGTACCTGAATTATTTGTAAAACATAAGGCAGGGTAGATTTGCACCTTATCAATTCAATCAGACTTGAATAGAATGGTTTGTGTTACATTTAGGAGAGCCCTTGTGATCAGTATTCAGAGAACAGTATCTTAACTTTATGAAAAGATCCTATAAACCCATGTCCTTGCTTTTGCTGACTGGATGAACCCCCACCCTAGAACCTGCAGCTGTTCTGGTGCTCTTACAAAATGTGGTGTGTGTATGGGCTTCTGCAATAAACACCCTTTATTGTCTGTCCCTGTATCCCCCTCCGCCTTTCAAGAAATGGACATCGCAAGAGACACAGTGGAAAACCTGCAAAATATTACCATACTAGTCATTCTTACCTGTTACATTTACAGTTTTTTTTTCTTCCTACTGGTATTAATACATAAATATAGATGAATATATATAATGTAAGAGGACAAGTTAATACAGTATTAAAACATTCTTATGTGACTCGGTACAATTTCAGACAACATCCCTCCTTAACTGTTCCTCAGATTCCATGCTAGTTTCTATCCTCGGGATGGCACTATATACTGGCTACGTGTTCATGCCTCAGCACATCATGGCTATATTACACTATTTTGAAATTGTGCAATGATGAAGAATATTCATGAAGCAATCATGATCCGAGATTCATGCTACCGAGAAGACCAACTCCTTATTTCTAATGAGACTTCAACAAATGTCAGAAAAAGCAACACATGATTATGACTCTAAAGACTAGGAAACCAGATGTTTAGAGCAGGGATGTTAAATACCCCCTGCATTACGTTCATTCCTTTTAATTTTACAAGATGCCCTTCTACAGTAGTTTTGTCTATTAAATATTGTGACTGTACTTTGATATCAGTATTTTCTTAACTTTGTGACAGTTTCAATATTGCACTGTGAGAGCTTTTCTTAATGTAACTTTGAGTAAATTCTGATTGCCTCCTATTTTTTAATCAGATGTCATCTTATTAAATGGGGCTTAAAGCTTTTTGCTATCGTATGGTATATATTTGCCTGGATATTTCTATTAACACATTTTATAAGAAATGCATTTAGATTCATATTGGAGACATGGATATATTAATTTATCACTACTTACAAAAATAATTTGTAAGACTGAACTCAGGTGTACCGTTTATTGTCCAAACTTTGTTCAACACAGTATTTGTGTGTGTCACTAATTTTGGCTTTAGCAATAAATTTTAAAAGCTTCTGTTTGAAAAATACAGGGAAGAGACCAAATTAAAATTTCATCCATCATGTTTGGGATAAAACTATGGATGTGTTCATTCCCAGCTTGGAGCAAATGAACCTCTGCAAAGCAGGACTTGCATTCTTTCATGCACTGCATTTAGGCTCTTGTAAGGTTTTGTGATAGCACTTTAATGCTGCTGTTCTAGCTTTGAAGTAGACTGTAATTGTACTAATCTCCCAAGGATTGTGTCCTACTGCAGAGGAGGGAAGGTATTTATGTGTAGGTTCTAAACTTTTATATAGCAGCTAGTGTTCCAAACATTTGAATGTGTTCTTGCTATAAGTTACCAAAACATAGGGTTTCAAGTGGACTTGAGTTAAAACTACAGCAATAAGAAGCTGAATACTTGACTGAAGTCCTGTCTTTGTTTTTTTTTATAGCTTTTTTTTCAGATTTGTATTCTGTAATTTAAGATGGCAGCAACCTGACTTTCTAAGGTGGAGGCTATTTTTGTTTTATTAAAAATAAAAACTAAAAGCAGAGTTGATATGATTTTTCTTTTTTTCATAGATTCATAGATTGTAGAGTTGGAAGGGATCACAATGGATCATCGTGTCCGACCCCCTGCCCCTGGCAGGAAAGAGGACCGAGGTCAGATGACCCCAGCCAGGTGACTATCTAGCCTCTTGAAGACCTCCAAGCTAGGTAAAAGCACCACCTCTCCTGGAAGCCCATTCCAGATCCTGGCCACCCTTATTGTGAAAAATGTCTTCCTAATATCTAACCTGAATCCACTCTCAACTAGTTTACACCCGTTATTCCTAGTCACTCCCTGGGGCGCCTTAGTAAACAGCGCGTCCCCTATTCCCCGTTGACCTCCCCTAATAAATTTATAGGCGGCCACAAGATCTCCCCTCAGCCGTCTCTTGTGAAGGCTGAAGAGATTCAGCTCTCTCAACCTCCCCCCCGTAGGGTCTATCACAAAGGCCACTAATCATGTGAGTGGCCCTCCTCTGGACCCTTTGGAGATTCCCCACGTCCCTCTTGAAGTGTGGCGCCCAAAACTGGACACAGTACTCCAACTGCAGCCTGACCAGTGCTGCATAGAGGGGGAGCATCACCTCCTTTGTTCTGTTAGTCATGCACCTGCTAATGCACGACAAGGTGCAGTTGGCCTTGTTGATGGTCTCGTTACACTGCCAGCTTGTGTTCATTTTGGAGTCAGTTATGTCAGGCAGGATCTACCTGTGACAAACCCATGCTGGTTTCCTCTCAGCATCTTTTCCCCTGCTGGGCCTGCACAAATGTGTTCTTTGATTATTTTCTTGAGCATTTTCCCAGGAATAGAGGTAAGACTGACTGGTCTAAAGTTACCCGGCTCATCGCTTCTCCCTTTCTTGAAAATGGGCACCACGTTGGCCCTTCTCCAGCCCTCAGGGACCTGGCCGGAGCACCATGAGTGCTCGAACAGCTGTGCCAGCGGCTCATCTATGACACTGGCCAATTCTTTCAGCAGCCATGGATGAAGGTCATCCGGGCCTGCTGACTTGTACCCATCCAGCTCCTCCAGGAGCTCCTTAACTATTTCAGAACTAACTGTAGGTGGACTGGTGCCATGTGGACATCTGTCAATGATCGAGGTGGGGGAATTGGCTTGGTCGGTACTTAAAAATAGTGAAGCAAAGAACTCATTGAAGAGCTCTGCTTTTTTCCCCGCGTCAACCACCAGCTGTCCTAATTTGTCCTGCAGGGGCCCTATGTTGCTCTGAGCTTTTTGTAAGAGCTTAATGTGTTTTACCATGCTTAAAATTCTGATGAAAGGCATGGGGATCTAAGAATGACACAAACCAAAGAATTTTTGTTTTGCTCTCATAGAGTGCAGGAAACAGTGACAATTTTTGCCCAATCTGGCCACAGAACGCAGTCTGTGGCTGTGACCAAACACAAGTGCATGGCTGCAGACAGCTTAGAAATGGCTGACTGGGTAAAAATCTAACCCTTCGTTGCATGAGGTTATCACTTGAAGAAGTTTCTAAATGTAACATCTGTAACTTGTCTGCCAAAGTCCCAGCCTGTTGCTGTTTTCAGAATGGGAGGTGGGGAAAGGGAGCAGAGGGAGTTAAGTCTGGGGGGGTTTCAGCCTCCCCTGGAAGGCAGGGTGGGTGAATTGGAGCCCCCCTGAGGGGTGTGTGGGTGGGGGCTCCAATTCACCCACCCCGCCCTTTAGCACCAGCTGGGGAGCCCCAAGAACGAGCTCTCTCTGCTGCCTTTCCCTCCTCTCATTCTGAAAACAGCACTGGCAGAGATCCCTCGCCCTTGCTATGGGAACCTGGCTGCAGGCTCCCAGCCTGCAAGTAGATTCCCCTCCTCCCTGCAACCAACAGCAAACTTCTGTTTGGTTTGGGGTAAGGTTGTAACTTGGAAAGCTTTGCAGAAAATGTTCTGAGAATCGGCTAAGAGTTGCACTTCTGTCTTCACCCCTAGATAAAATAGATGCTTTGGACCACAAGTCAATAAGAAAACGTGCAAGTAATGTGTACAGTGCCTAACCTCAGAATTGGTTTTGTCTCTTAGGCCTAATGTCTTATTTAAAGACATGCCAGTGAAGGAAAGAAAATATCTTTTGTCATATTTTAAAATAAGTAAATAGTCAACCAATATTAATTTCAGTTAACTGAATACAATGTGGTTTTGCACATGCCTCACGTACCTTGTTTTTGAAAGGCACAATGTAGGAAATATATATTTTTTGGAGTAATGGCCTGGAGCTGGCTTTTTCATGGCGAGGCTACGTTGCACAATGGCTGTCACCTTCTCTAGCCAGGAAGCTGAGTGCAGCTGTGTAGGGGTTAACACTGGACACTCTCTCAGGAAATACACAGGAAAAGCTATCTGGTAGCCATTTTGCAGCACAGCAACTTCATGTTTCTGTTCCAGCAAAGAAAATCGACTTCGATGCTTGATATCTTCCTGCCACCCACACTCAGTTTTGGAGGATTGATTTTTTTTTTTTCTATTTGCAGGAAAGGGTGTGTGTGTGGTACGTGAGTTAACATGGTACCTTTTTGATTTAAAATATTACTTGGGCAAATTTGACCTGAACTTCAGGGATAAAATCCAAGCTTTTCTGTACTCTTCGAGTTTCCCACTAGCCCGGTGGTTTTCAGCCTTTTTTAATTCATGGACCCCTAACATTTTTTTAATAGAGGCATGGACCCTTTTGGAAATCTATTGTGTGTGTACCGAACATAAGTAGGTGGTGATGAGCAGCTATGTTAAAATAACAATAATACAACTTTGTGAACTCACCATTTTGTTGTCAGTTCAAGGATATGAACGTTTGGTATGGTAGGTGACAGTTTCAGTCTTAGATATCCCAAAACAATGTGTGTGTTGAAGGAGTTCATTTTTATTGATACTAAGGCTAAAAGCCACTTTCATGCAAGTACATAAAAACATAGCATCATAGAAAATTAGGGTTGGAAGGGACCTCAGAAGGTCATCTAGCCAAGTGTTTCTCAACACATGGGTCGTGACCCAAAAGTGGCTCGTGAGACTCTATTAAAGGGTTGTGAATCCACTTTAAAAATGGATTCTCCTTTAAAGGAGAAAAATGTGTGAAACTGGTTTTTCCCTTGCAGGCTGGCAGAGTTCTAGCCTGTGAGGGACTGATTGGGGCCTCCCTGCCCCACACACTGAGGGCCTGGGGGCAGCCGGTCGGAAGTCAGGGACACTGAGTTGGGACTGGCCATTGATGTGTACAAATAGGTCCCGGTACAAAAAAGGTTGAGAACCACTGATCTAGTTCAACCCCCTGCTCAAAGCAGGACCAGCCCCAACTAGATCATCCCAGTCACAGCTTTGTCTAGCTGAGTCTTAAACATGGAGATTCCATAACCTCTCTGGGTAACCTGTTCCAGTGCTTTACTACCCTGTTAGTGAACAAGTTTTTCCTAATACCTAACATAAACTTCCCTTGCTGTAATTTGAGACAGTTGCTCCTTGTTCTGTCATCTGCCATCACTGAGAACAGTCTAGCTCCATCTTCTTTTGAACCCCCGTTCAGCTAGTTGAAGGCTGCTATTAAATCCCCCCTCAGTCTTCTCTGGACTAAATAAGCCCAGTTCCCTCAGCCTTGCCTCACAAATCATGCCCCCCAGCCCCCTCACCATTTTTGTTGCTCTCTGCTGGATTCTCTCCAATTTGTCCACATCCTTTCTGTAGTGGGGTGCCCAAAACAACACAATACTCCAGATGTTGCCTCACCAGTGCTGAATAGAGGGCAGTAATAATTTCCCTTGATCTGCTGGCAACACCTTTACCGATACAGCCTAGTATGCCAGTAGCCTTCTTGGCAACAAGGGCACACTGCTAGGTCATATTAAACTTCTTGTCCACTGTAACCCCCAGGTCCTTCTCTGCAGAGCCGCTGCCCAGCCAGTCAGCCTCCAACCTGTACTAGTGCATGGAACTGTTCTGTCTGAAGTGCAGCACTTTGCACTTGTTTTTTTTTGAACCTCATGAGATTTCTTTTGCCTCAATCCTTCAATTTGTCTAGGTCACTCTGAATCCTAGGCCTACCCTCCAATGTATCTAGTACTCCCCCCAGCTTGGTGTCATCTGTAGACTTGCTGAGGGTGCACTCCATCCCATCTTCCAGGTCATTGATGAGGACATTGAACAAAACCGACCCCTGGGGCACTCCATTTGATATCAGCTGCCAATTAGACATTGAGCCATTGTTTATTACCCTCTGTGCCTGATGCTCCAGCCAGTCTTCTATCCACCTTACAGTCTATCCAGCCCATATGTCCTTAGCTTGCCTGCAAGAACATTGTGGGAGACCGTACCAAAAACCTTGCTAAAATCACGGTATATCACCTCCACTGGTCTCCCCACATCCACAGAACCAGTCATCTCATCATACAAGTCAATCAGGTTGGTCAGGCATGACTTGCCCTTGGTAAATCCATGCTGATTGTTCCTAATCATCACCTTCTTCAAATGCTTAGAAATGTATTCCTTGAGGATCTGCTCCATTATTTTTCTGGGGACTGAAGTGAGGCAGACTGGTCTGTAGTGCCCTGGATCCACCTTTTTCTCTTTCTTAAATATGGGCACTATGTTTGCCCTTTTCCAGTCATCTGGGACCTCTTCTGATTGCCTTGAGTTTTCAAAGATGACGCTCAGTGGTTCTTCAATCACATCAGCCAACTCCCTCAGCACTGGGTTTATTTAATCTGGCCCCATGGACTTGTATAAGTCCAGTTTTTCTAAATTAATGGTGAACAGCATCTATGTGATGGTGATTGGCATCAAGACTTTAATGGCCTTATCTGTCAGATCAGGATACTGTTCTCCCCTCCCCACCCCCCAACCAAAATTAGGTAAAGGGGGTTCCTGCTCGAATTTCAAGTTTGTCCCCATCGCAGGATAACTTGAATAATTGCTCTTCTCTTACTGTTAGACAGGACCTAAAGTTGCAGTCTGCTACAAAGGAGTTATGTATCCGCTCATTCTCTTTGCCCATTTCAGGAAAGTATTGGTGAAACAGATTTGAGCACCAGCAAATGTTCCTCAATTTTACTTTTCATATCACTGTCCAGCATCAACTCATTTTCAGCCCAAAGCTGTCAAGGGTTTCAAATGTATAGAAGTCATTTTCTCTTACTTGAGAAACCCAGAGTTTAAGGGTGTGTATAGAGGAACTGGGGGCCCTAAATTGAAGCGGTGGGTTTTTAAAAGCACTGCTTCAATTTAGGGCCAAGTAAACCCCCCCTGTGTCATGCACACCCCCGTGCCCTTCCCTGCCTCTCGGGTGGTAGGGAGGAGAGGGCAAGCTGCCGGCGGGTGGTGCACTCCCTAGGCTGCAGGGTGGGGGCTGGTGCTTCCCTCTGCAGCAGCGGCAGTCCCCCTCTCCACCCCCCACCCCGCGGCACCTGCCCACAGGCACTTGGCTCGGGCAGTCTTGGGGGATACTGCAGCCGCAGAAGGAAGTACCAGGCCCCTGCACAGCTCAGGCAGGCTCTAGGGTGGGGGGGAAAAAAAAAAATCAGGCTTGCCGCTTTTTTTTTTTTTTTCTTGGACGGAGCCCGCCTTCCCAGGCTACTGGCAAGCTGCCTGCATGGCTTCCTGCAGAGCCCCTGAGCTGCATGGAGCCTGGTGCTTTGCTCTACAGCTGTAGGGCAGCAAACTAAAACTCCTTGGAGGAATTTTAGTTTGCTGCACCTCAAGTCACTTAAGGTGCATTACGCCACCAAATTTGTTACAGTGGCTGGAATTACTGTGCAATATGCCGCTGATGTGTGCAAACACCAACACCTTTAAAGCGGTGCAAAAGCATTTAACTTGCTTTAAAGTGTTGTGCACACGTGCCCCTCATTTTGTCTACACATGGCCTAAGCATTTTGATGAAAGCCATCAGGTAACTATTCACCCAGGGTTTCCCCCAGATTGGCATATCAGATCCTCATATATTCACATGTATTAGGTGGTGTACTGTGAAAATGAAAAGTTGGGGCACAGACTGAGCTAGCAGATATCTCTATACCCCACCACTCTTTTGCTCCTGCCTTTCCATCAGTTTTGTAGGAGCTAACCTTTCAGTAAAAATGTGTGCAGTCTTTATTGTTCCAAATAAAGCTTTCCATAGGTGCCTCAAGACACTGCCAGTTTTCCCAATGGAAATTCCATCCAGCCTGGTATGCACTCTCACATGCCTTTTCCAGTTTGTAGATTGATATCACCAGGCAAGCAGAGGACACATGGGGCTGCAGCATTGCCATGTGCCACATGAAGCAGTGGTGGCAGCACAATGAATTGAGGTTGTTTGGCCGTGTTCTGCCTGCTGGTGCTGGGCTGCCTGCTGCTGGTGTTCAGGTGGCCTCTGGCGGTGGGAGGAGCTGGAGCAGCAGTGGCACTGGTGGTGCTTCTGCTTTGGGCAGGGCCACCATCTTTACAACCACGGGTTCCCCTTGACATGCTCCATGGACCCCTGTGGTCCACAGACCACAGATTGAAAACCACTGCACTAGATGAAGGCTGCACAAGATGATAGAATGGGTTATGACAACTCTTACTGAAATGAAAACTTGTATTTTCTTTGAAGAGAAATTTCTGTTGACATGCATTCTATGCTTGTGCGGTAGGCTAAGGCAGGGCTCTCCAACTTCTGAGTGGCCACATGTGGCCTATGTAGCTACCACTTGAACAGTCCTGGGCTAAGGTGTTAACATTAATGATACTCACTCTAGAGCAGGGGTGTCCAACCTTTTTGAATGTGGGGCTGGATCACAAACTTTTTATCCCCCAGTGGGCCGGCAAGCCATATTCAAAGACGTCACAGGAAGTGGTATCATATCAGGAAGTGATGTCATGTGACCTTTGACACCAATGAAGTTGCAGGGGTTGACATGGTGCTGGTTGACATGGCATGCATGCCTGGGTTGACATGGTGCTGCAGGACCTGCCTGGGCAGAACCGGGTTGGCACTGGCCAAGAAAAGCAGCATGCAGCTGAAGCTGGCTTCCCATGTGCTGTTGGAGATGGGAGGAGGCCGGCCAGGTCTGTCCCAGCCAGCAGAAGTGGCGGCGGAGCCTTGTGCTGCTCGGGACTGACTGGTGCAGGCTTGTCCCATCCTGAGAGGCACACAGCTCCGCCGCCGCTTCTGTTGGCCGGTGCAGACCCAGCCCGTATACTCCTGCAGGGCCTCGTGTGGGGGGCCGGGCCCGGAGAGCTGCAGCGCCCGGGGGGGAGACTGGTCGGGGGAGCAGGCACGGCCTTGCTGTGGGGCAGGGTAGGGCAGCGGGGCTGGCTTGAAGCAGGTGGGTGAGGAGGCAGGCATGGGCCAGCAGTGCCAGTGGCCTCTGCTTGGCCTGCTGCGCGGGGCCGCTTCCCTGGACCCTGCGGGGGTAAGCAGCTCCCCTCCCCTCGCTGCTGGCTGGGGCCCGCGGGCCAGCTCTGCCCGCCTTGCCGTGGCCCTGCTGCCATCGTGGCTCTGCACTCCGTGGCAGTGGCTCCGGGCTCTGTGCCGCTGCCACTGGCTCTGCACTCTGCACTGCCACCACGGCGGCGGCTCTGCGTTCTGTGACTCTGCGCTCCGCCGCCGCGGCAGCTCTGCGTTTTGTGGCTCTGCGCTCCGCAGCGGCGGCTCTGCATTCCACGCCGCCACCGCTGCCACTGCCTCAGCTCTGCGCTCCACAGCACTCCCTGCCCGCCTCGCCGTGCTCCGTCCACACTTCCTGCCCGCCTCGCCACTGCAGCTCCGCACTCTGCATCACGGCGGCTCCATGCTCTGCAGCACTCCCTGCCCACCTCGCCACCACCTTGGCTCCACAGTCCATAGCACTCCCTGCCCACCTCGCTGCGCTCCCTCCACGCTCCCTGCCCACCTTGCTGCTGCTGCCATGGCTCCATGCTCTGTGCCACCGCCATGGTTCCGTGCTCTGCAGTGGCAGCTTCGCGCCCCGTGGCGGCAGCGCTGCTGCTGCTGCGGGCCAGATAAAATGGCTTGGCGGGCCGAATGGTGGCCCACGGGCCGTATGTTGGACAAGCCTGCTCTAGAGGGAGTCTTACTGGGAGCATCTACATGTGCACTTAACTAAACAGTGGACTAATTTGCTGCAGTGTAAAGTGTCACAGTCTACATGTGCAACGCTATTAGACCACAGCAAACTAATTTTTGAAAAGAATGAAGCTTAAACACATGGGTAAATGCTGACTCAGGTGTAAATTGTGCCTGGTCAGCCCAGGCAGAAGGGGGCTAGACCCTTGCCTGCTGCCTAACCACATGGTTCTGCTCTTTGGGCACCCTCTGCTGCTTGACACCACAACCTGGAGCCTGGGGCTGACCTCTTGAGCCTGGTGCCAGCCCAGGGCTGCTCTGCCTTGGCTCAAGCTGCTGCAGTCCCGGGTGCATGTGTAGATGCTGTGCCTGGGAGCTGTTAACTCCAGCAAGAACTGCGCTGGAGTTTATTGTGTTGCACTAATTGAAAGTGTAGATACACCTACTATATTTTAATTTGGTTTAAAACCAGCCAAATAAATTTAGATAAGTATATGGATCTCAGTTAAACATAGAAAGTTTTTAAAATGTATTTTCAGATTAAAATTTATGCGGGCACAAGTAACTTCCTTTGCAAATAGGCCCATTTCAACCTCCTACAATGTAGCTGCTGCAGAAGTCATTCTGTGCTCTAATGGGCTCATTTAGTTATACAGGCAATCCTTGACTTACAACGTTTTCCACTTACAATGTTTATAAATCGACACCCTGTTTCAACTTTCTGACATCAGTTTCGACTATACAATGCTTGATTCGATGCAATGCCACGCCAGCAAACAAGTTTGCTGCATTGCTCATCTCCCTGGAGAACATCTGTCCAAACTTCCTTGGACACTTTCTTTAAGAAAGCAGACAAGACTCCAGAAAAACCTGCAGCCAAGACTCCTGAGAAGACTCCAGCTAAGAACCCTTCAAAAAGTCCAACCAAGAGCCCTTTAAAAAGTCCTGCAGTCACCTCAAAGAAGTACTTCCAAATCAATGTGATTGCTATTTACAATATAAATATATTAACGTAGCTATATTACTCATCTGCAATTGATCGAGTACAAAATTCTGAGGTATTTTTGGTGAAAATAGGGTATTGGGCCTTGTTCAGGAACCAATCCCCCATTTATAACATTGTTTCTTATGAGAAAATTGGTTCCGAGTTACGTTTCAACTTAAGACATGGTTTTCAGGAGGACTGCCTGTATGTTACGTTAGTTTTATTTTAACTGACTAGTAGAGGTTTTTGTTTCCCTTTCCTTCAGATGCCAATTTAATTACAACAGACTTCCCTCCCCCCAACAAGGTAACAGAATCTTATTGAAGAATACATTATGTTTGTATGTGGTATCTTTTGATAATTTTTTTTCTTTGTGTTATGACGGTTAGCCTTGTTGATGGGACTGGGTGTCTTTGATTATGCGTTTAGTTGGTGGCAGTTTTGTGAATAGCTTTTGATGATGCACAAGTCTTTTACTGATGGGGAACGTGCAGCCATAGTATCTCATCATTATAGTATGTTGCAGTGGAAATGTCCAACCTTGGGCAACTTGTTAGTTAAGCATTGACCAAATTACTAATTATTACATAATTAGTGAATGGATTGGCTCACGGTCTTGGTCTAGAATAAAAAAAATACATTTAAGAGAATTTTCTTGTTAGAATTCAAGACCTTATGTAAAAGGATGAAATAGATTCCCTTACAAAATGACTGAGGTTCATAGTCATAAAGGCACTTGCTTCTAGGACTTTGTCTTCAAAATCCTGAAACGGAGGACATGCTCAACATGATCATTTCATAAAACATTTTTAATCAGAAATAATCAATTCCTTATTAAATTTAAATAATGATTTACAAGATGATTAAATTGAATATTTTCCTGCTCTGCGTTTAACTTACAGCAACCAGCAGTTAAAAGACTGAATTTTGCATAACATAGAGCTGCACATTGGTCCTGTGGAACGCAGAATGAAAAAGCAACTTAAATTCCTAGAATCAGACACAGCCATTTTAAGCATAAGCAGGGTTATAAGGAGAATGTTTTTAGTTAATGTAAAATTTAGCATGTTACATATCTACAAAGCCAAAACAAATAAGGGTAAGAGGTTTTCTGCTAGACACGTATGATTTTTTTATACCCATTCTGTTGACCTGAGTGTAATAAAACTGTCAGAAATACTCCATGAAACAGAACTGGAAGTTAATTGAGAAAGTAGGCTACTGAATTTGTGTGTGTGTGTGTGTGCGTGTGCGCGCGTGCGCGCGTATACAGCAAAACAAAAAACGGGAAAACTGAGTTCTCAGAACTATGCTGACAGTCCTTACTAAGTAAGCTTTGGGTTTCCCTGAATATTGAAATAAATTTACCTAAGTGATTATAACCAAGAAGTGCACTAAGGCAACTTTGTGATTTGAGTTAAAAATTAATAGACCCACAGAGGTTTGAATGCTTTACTTAAAGCTACTTTCATTACTGTATGATAGTGAGCTGAAAGTTTTGGGTTATATATTTATTAAGGGGCAGCTCTCCAGAGAGGGGAATGTTTCTTAAGTACTCTTATTTTTTTAAAATACATGATTACCTACCTTGTTTATAATCATTGTAAAGACTGCCTGCAATCCTGGAATTTTGCCATTGACTCTAATCAAGCTATGATTTCACCCTCTGTAATCCAAGCTTAATGAGATTCTTTTCACAATTGTTGCTCTGGACTGGCTTTGTCAACTGAAAAAGGGAGGGGGGAAGGGGTGGACATAAAAACATGCATGTTATGAGGATTAACTAGTTTACAGCAAAACAAGAAATTTCACCTAAAATGTGGTGGTTTTTAGACAGATTCAACATGTAAATGGATTTAAAGTGGGGGAAAATTGCTACCTGAGGCCGCAATCAGATAAGCGCGGCTGTGTGGTATGCGGTGCCACAGACACATCTGTGGCAGCACATACCGCATGTTCAGTTGTTCTCTGTGCTGCAAGGGAACTGCGCAGGGCAGGGGGAGTGGAGAGCGGGGGGAGGGAGGAATACCTACGGGGCAAAAAAAAAAAAATACCATGAAAAAAAAAAAAGTGGAGTGGAGCATGCAGGGGCAGTGCGTGCAACTCAAAACTGGAGCCAGGCTGGCCAGAGCTGTGCTCCACTGCCAGCCAGTCTCCGCACAGCAGGATTGCTGCTGCTGTAGCCCCAGGAGGCCCCCACAACCCCAGGTAAGGCTGCTGGGGCCAGCCCAGTGCTGGCCCCAGCCTCCGCTACCCCACCCAGGGTAAGTTGCATGCCAGAGGGTGTGTGTGTGGCACAGGTGTTCCCAGGGACAAGTAGTGGCAGCATAAGGTACACCACTGCTAGTTGTCCCCAGGGAACCAAATGTCCACATGTGTGTGGATGTAGCCTGCTAGTGCATGTCAGTGGATCCATTATAACTACTATGCGTCCATTCTTTTCTGCAGTTAGTAATGCTAAACCATGGCAACTTACAAGAGGAAGAAACGGATGCTAATTGCTGAAATTTAGCTTCCTCTTACTGCAGGGTGCAGTGGACACATGGAAGAGAATTGTTTGAAATGAGGTACACCTCTATACGTTTACTGTAACCTGAATGCTACAGGTTCAGGTCATGCTAAGGCACAGTTGAAATGAAATGCACACACTACAAAAGTGCTGCAATGAAAGAGGAATAAGAAAAATAATAAGTTGGCTTCTTGTGGTTTAGGAAGAAGTCTAGATTTTAGATCTGAGCTGTATTCTGGAGTTTTCCAGATTCCTGTTGTAAAAATAAAAAAGCAACTTTCAAGTTTAATTTTTAAATGGTTAGGTTTATAACTTGTTGCTGGTATATATGGAAATCAAGGAATGCAAGAAAATGCCAAATTTGGATTGTATGCTTAATTTGACTTGAGTACTGAGTCACAATAAGTGTACAAATTGAGAATACATTTTGCAAAATAATTTATAAAAGGGAGGCTTAATATTGCTTAACGTGTGTAGCAAAGTGGATACGTGGACAAAAAATGTAAAATAAATGACAATTATGAGTCTTAGTTTGATGCCACTTTATTTTTTATCTGATATAACAACTACCATATTTACCCGAATCTAAGATGACTTTGAATCTAAGATGACCTGTTAAGAATTAGATTCTATACATGGAAAATTATATATATGTTATAATTTTCCATGTATGGAATCTAACTATTGGTGGGGGTCATCTCAAATTTATCCCCTTCACCAACGTGGTTGGGAAAGCAGCAGCGAGGGGCAAGGGATCAGACCCCTGCCCTTCCCCCTCCCATGCCTGTGCCTGCCCCCCTGCCACCTGTTCAACCTTCTACTTGCTGCTGTGGTGCCTGCTTGCCCATAACTTACCCTACCCCATTGTGCCTGTTGCTTTGCCTGGGCCCGTCTCCTCTACCCACTAGTCCTCCCCCCTGCTACCTGCATCTCCCCACTGCTTACTTTCTGTGGTGGCTCTGCTCTGGCTCTGGGGCAGTCAGTGGGCCCTGGCCCAGCCTGACCAGACAGCAGTATAGCAGGGCCCCAAGCTACTGCCAAAGTTGGGGCTGGAGCCACAGCTGAAATAAAGTGGTGGGGAGGGGGCAAGTGGCTGAAGGTGGGGAGACAGTGGCTGTGTGGTCTCTCCTGTGCTCTCCCTAAGCTGCATACCATGGGTCTCCTCTGTGCGTCTCCCACCCCACTGTGTACCCCTCATGCTTCACATCCCCTCCACTGTCACATGAACCTCCTTGACCAAGGCAGATGGTGACTCAGCTCTGGCTTTGGCTCTGGGGCTGAATTACCACTTGCCCCCGGCCAGTACTCAAATCTAACACAAGGCTTTTTTCCCCCCCATGTTGATGTGGGAGACGGACCTCATCTTGGTTTTGAGTAAATACGGTAATTATGCTACATTAAGAGATCAGAATCAGACTCTCTATGCCTGGATTTATATGACAGTATTATGAACCATTAAACAGAGTCCATAATATACCAAGTTGTGGTTCATTAGCTATGCACATGTACTTAATTTTAAGTAATGACATACCTAGCATATGTAAACAGACACACACGTATGTGTATCTGTTTGCATGTGCTAAGCATGTAATTATATGACAGTAAGACAGTGTGTTTAATGTGAATTGTAGTTTTTAAATTTGATGTAAGAAATGATGCATTTCAGGTCAGTATGTCCTTAAATGAGTTTTACTTGAAAGAAACATTTTTTTCTGAGAAGACCATCAGACTTGATATGGAAGTAGTGTCCAGGGTCTAATTGAATTTTAAGAAAACAATATTTAACATTAATTAGCAACACAAGAGGGCTTGTGGTAAACTGAATTGTGGAGAATAATATACATAACACTAAAGAACTATGCCTACTAGTCTTAGCAAATTTAGAAGTACCAAGTGTTCTTTAGCAAGGGTCATTGTTTAAGGAGAAGAGAGAGAGCATTTAAAAATATTGTGCAGATATGTCAATATCACTAGGAAGAGAAGAATATCTTTAGATATATTACATGCATGTTTCAAAAGCCTTCACCACAGTGGAGAAAGGACATTTAGGTGAGGAGTCTTTACAGTTCAGTTTTGAGGGGATAGGATGTAGAAAAAAAAAACCTACTCCACAGAGTCTGCCTCACTTGGAATGTCACATAAGTACACGCACCTTGTTTATGCCTCTCCTGTTATCTTTGGGTGTGTGAAGGGTGACAACATGGGACACAGTGGCTGCTTCTAAATGAGACACCTTAATGTGCAGTGGACTGTTCTACTCCACATTAGCATGCCATGACAAAAACCATGCTAATGCTCAGTAAAATTAGTCTACACAAAAAGTTTGCCTTTTCTACTGCACATTAGTAGATTCACCTCCAAGGATGAATATTCTGCACTGGTCCGGTCCTGCAGGGAGCAGACCAGGAAAGCCAAGGCTGCAGCTGAACTCCAACTAGCTTCGAGCATCAAGGACAATAAAGAGTCCTTTTTCAGATATGTGGGGAGCCGGAGGAAAAGCAGGGGCAACATTGGACCCCTGCTAAACCAGATGGGACAGCTGACAACTGACGCCCAGGAAAAAGCCAACCTATTAAATGGGTACTTTGCATCGGTCTTTCATCAGTCCCATGCCCACTACGGGACAGGGAGGTCCGGGTGAGGGAGATCCCCTGCCCTCCATCAATGCTGACCTCATGAAGGAACACCCTGAGAGGCTGGATACCTTCAAGTCAGCTGGCCCTGACAATCTACACCCCAGGGTACTCAAGGAGCCGGTGAGCATCATAGCCCAGCCTCTGGCACAGATGTTTGAGAA